CGGGCCACGACTCATCACAAGTAAGAGGAACACAGATCTTAAAGCGCCTCTATGTCCCAACTGGGCCCAGGAGTTCGTAGGTCGGCCCTTCGACGGGTTCGACAACCGCTCCAAGCACCTTTAGGGTGAGTGGTGGAAAGGGATGGGCCCGGTAGTGGCCAGTACCTGGGCACACGAGCGCCGCGGGTATCCCGGCCCACGTTTGAGTCTCGGTCGGTTATGATCCATGTTTTTTTAAGAAAGGTACTTAGCCCTCGGGACCGGTCGAACGGACCCGAGAACTATATGGATTTACCGCTGAGAATTTAGGGTCAGTCACCAAGCTGACTCAAACTAGATCCCCACAAATGGGATGCTAGGGGGCCCACTCAGACTAGCCCATTAACAGCTCACCGGGTGCCATGATTCGTCCTTTGAGGAAAATCGTGGCACGGCTCGGCCCTTCTGTTTTTATCGGAAAAAATGCTTGAGGGAAGACAATAGCAAAGATGAACCGATCCTCGACCGGGCCCCTGCTATGGGAGGGGGCTCGAGGAAAGGGAATCACCACCCACAGGTCACTCTGTGGGTAACAAAAGAAGGCCGAGGCCTTCAGAGTCCTCCTGTTTGGAAAAGCCTCCGAATGAGTATTCTACTCCTCCGCAGGCTCAGGGGCAACTGTCGGGGACCAATACACTAGGGTACCGGAAGAGGAGGAGCTAATAATCATCAACATTGATTTATCCGAGCAGTCAAGAGCATGACTGTAGCTCCAACTGACCCCCAGGTGCGCAAGCTCCTCCTCGCCCGGCCTCTGGGGGTGGGCTCCGCCTTGCCCGACACCGAGGCCGCAGGCTCCGCCTCGCCCAACCTCTAGGGGAGGGCTCCTCCTCACCCGACACTGAGGCCGCGGGCTCTGCCTTGCTAGACCTCTGAGGGTAGGCTTTGCCTCAACCGGCCTATGAGGGCGGCCTATGCCTCGCCCAACCCCTAGGGGCGGGCTCCGCCTCGCCCGACCTCCAAGGGCTGGCTCCATCTCGCCCGGCCTCTGAGGGTGGGCTCTGCCTCGCCCGACCTCTGGGAGTGGGCTCCGCCTCGCCCGACCCTTGGGTTTGTGCTCCGCCTCACCCGACCTCTGAGGGGCGGGTTCTGCCTCGCCCGACCTCTGAGGGCGGGCTCCACCTCGCCCAACACCGAGGCCGCGGGCTCCGCCTCACCTGACACCAAGGCTGCAGGCTCCACCTCGCCCGACCTCTGAGGGTGGGCTCCACCTCACCGACACCGAGGCCGCAGGCTCCGCCTCGCCCGACACCTAGGTCATGGGCTCCGCCTCGCCCGGCCCTTAGGTTTGCACTCCGCCTCGCCCGGCCTCTGAGGGGGGACTCCACCTCGACTAACCTCGGGGCTAGGGGATCCGTCTCGCCCGACGAAGACCCATACCGCCGTCAACGACTCCAGGTCCAAGCAAATGGGCCTGTGTCAAAGATCTAACACCAAGGAGGTGACCGGCACGCCCCAAATAACCCATGGCCGTGACGGGCCATACCAGGAGATTCAAATCAGGAATAGCGTCGGGTGTACCGGTGCCGTTCTGCCTAACCCTCAACGAGGACTGACAGGCACGTCAGTTCACTACGACGTCTACAAGGACAGAGTGGAGTGCTATGACCGGGAGACGACACCTGCGCATGGCGCTAGTGACAGACAGGGCCGCGATGTGGAGTTGTCCCTGTTGACGTCTACAGGGTCGGCGGGACCCTCGTGAAGGAAAAGAAGGACCCGGCGATCCTAGAAGACTTCTTCTCCTTCTCATTCTCCTCTTTTCTCTTCACTATAACCTGTGCTTTCCCTTGGCCTATAAAAAGGAAAGCAGGGCGTCCCATAAAGGGCATCGTAACACATCACATCGATTCGGACTCGAACTCATCGAACCCTGAACTGATCAGAACACACAAGCACACAACCGAGAAGCGACCGAGCTCTGGGCACCCGTTCGCTCCTCTCACCAGAGACTTGGGACCTGCCCTTCTCTCGACCATTTGTAATCCCTACTATGAACTTTCAGTGCTAGTAACACGAGCAGCAGCAACGAACTAGACGTAGGGACATTCTGGCCAAACCAGTATAAACCTCGTGTCCTCTTAGCACACCATCCGAGCCAGACGCACAATATTAGAAATTTACTTATCGATGGCAACTCAAAACACCGACAGCAGGTGTGTCCCAAAGCTTTATACCAAGGTGCGTCTTGCAAGGATACACCTGTCCATCTTGAACTACCGGTGCCTATCTGTGACTGTGATAAGCCAGCCCATGTGTTCGAATCGAGGAGGCATCTGGGTACTGCTGCCTGGGCCTTCTACACATGTGGTGATTGTCGTGTAAATAATCATTTGCAATTGATTCATTGTGTTTTCCTTGATATTCCCTATGAAATTACTGATGTGACGGTAGCATTAATTTTTTATGATGAGGAGATGTGCTACTTCTTTCAGTGGATCAATGGACCTGACAAGTTTAATCCAAGGTTCCTCCTTAATTTTCAAACACTGGGGATCGCATACAAAATATGATCACTTTATGCGGTGGGTTGCACCTCCCCGAACCCCCCACCAATGACAGACGAGGAGAACAAAGCCGTCTCAAAACGTCTTGACAACCCACCTTGGTGTGATTGCGGGAGATCCAGCTGTGGTTGCAACTTGGGATGAGGTTGAGTTTAAGTGTGGTAACAACTAACAAGAATGAATTAAGTGAACCCTTTTTCTCTTGAGCCTGTATTAGTATGTACAGAAGTATTTATGTATCCTAAACATAGTAACTACATATAACCTAAAAAAAACTACCTAAATATAACATAAACACTTAGCTTTCAAATATAACCTAAACTAACTAACTAAATATAACCTAAACATAGTAACTGAATATAACCTAGATCTAAAAACACTAACTAAAATTTCTAACATACATGACAACCTAAACATAGCGCACATGCAACTAGATGTTCACGTATAATTAAAAATGAGGGCGGACCCGTAACACAAGTTTCTAAACGTAATCGATCTATCTAAACTACTTCGCATAGCTACCAAAATGATTTTTTTCTTGAAACCCTAGCTAGCAAGGCTATACTTCAAATCAGCCATGAAAACAGAAAGAGAGAGAGAGAGAGAGAATACCTTGCCAAGGAGGAGGGGAAGCTTGCGGGCAACCTCCAACAAGCCCCGAGCCGAAATCGCTAGATTTCGATCACGATAGTGTCAGCGGCGGCAGGTGTGTTCACAGGATTGAGGTGGAAGAAGAGCAGGGGAGAGGGAGGGAGGCCACGCCACACACCTGTATCCACCCCTGCCGCGCCAGGCGGGGTGGTGCGGCCCCTACCTCGCCCGATGCGGTGGCACGGCAGGCTAGCCACATCACCAGGTCAGCGGGCCGCTAACTGGCCACGGTGGCAGCCTACCGTGCCAGCCTAGTTAGATTTGGAAATAAAATCCTGGGGGATTAGTTTTAAAAATTCTTTTAAAAATATTAAAAGTAAAAAAATCGCTATAGAAGGATAATGTACAGTATTTCTTAAAAACTTATCTCTATGACCCTATAAGTTGGAGTTTTCCTAGATTTCAATTCTTTTTCATTTCTTTTCTTCTTCTTTTGAGCTCTGTTGTATCCACAGCTTCTCCTCCCATGCTGCCAATTTCAAGGTCCATCAATGCATTTTACTCTTATGTCAATGTCAATGGGCAGTCGAACGTTGGTAACGCCGTGACTGATTATTCTACACGAGGCCTATCTCTGTCTAAAAAAGTGATGCTAAGTTTAAACTAAATCAAACTTTCTTAAATTTAATTAATTTAAAACAATTTCCAAATATACTTATTATGAAAGTATATTTCATTACTCATCTAATGGTAGTATCATAAATCTTACACCCCGTTTGGATGTTTGCATTGAGGCCATGGCATTGGAATTGGGAATAGTAGACCCGAATTCCACGTGTTTGGATGGTCCTGGCATTGGAGTCTGGAAACTGAGCGCGATTCCGCGTGGCATTCGCTTCACGTAGCATGACCCCGAAGGGATGCCGAGCCGAGACCCTCCGGCTCTCGTCGTCTCCAACTCCGGCGCCGGCCGCTCCGTCCCTCACAGCCAGCCCCTTCGTCCTCCTCGCCAGAGCTCCTCCACCCTCGCGTGCCCCCTACGCCCCACTCGTCGGGGGCCCTCAGATCCACCGAGACCTGCGGCGAGGCAGCTCCCTCCTCAGCGCCGGCGTCGAGCTCTCTTCTCCCCCGTCACTGCTTCCCCTACCCCGTCGAGCTCCCTCCTCCCCCGTCATCACCTGTCGCGGTGGGCGTCCGTCCTCAGATCCGGAAGGGCCCGAGCTCGAGCTTCTTCGTGCGTCCTCTGCGCGTCGGGTCGTGCCCGAGCTCGCTCGGGGCCTTCCTCCGCGCCGCGAGGGCCGAGCCTGAGTCCGCTTGCAGCCGCCTCCGCGTGCGCCGAGGGAGTGCCCGAGTCTGCTCGCAACGAGCCGAGGGAGCCCGCTCGCTGCCATCTTCCGCGCCGCTGGGGTGCCTGGATACTCCACGCGAGGGATCCCGCTCGCTGCTATCTTCCACGCCAGCGAGGTGGGCACTACTGCTCGCGGGATCGCGGCTATCTTTTGCGCTGCCGGGGCAGTGTGATTTGTGAGGGAGGTGGGAGAAATCAATTTCATGATGTGCACATCCAAACATAAAATTGGTATTTGCCAAGTCAATAGATTCCAGCCAGCAAATTGATCCACGTCCAAACAACAGATTTGGTATTACAATACATTTCCAATACCAGTCTGATTTGATATTGGTACCAATGAAATTCCAGGGTCTCTAATATCTACATCCAAACGGACCCTTAGTATTTTCTATATATTTATTTGAAGTTAAGATTGTTTTGAATACTCAAAAGTAGTAAGAGTGACATTTTTTTTTACGGAGGGTACATATGCGCGCGCGCGCACGCAATAATGGACAACGCAGTCGTGGCAATCAACTCAGGGTAAGCGTGGAGTCGGCCACAATTGGGCTCCTCACGACGTGATCATGGTCATGGGACAACCAGCTCAGGGCCCCCTCGGCGATCTCCTGCTCGCTGCTGGCTCCGGCTGCGCTCACCGTGACCGTGAACGTCTTCCTCTCATTTGCCTTGGTGAACTCCAGCTCCGCCGGCTCCACCTTGACCATCAGGCCTTTCGGCGCTTCGATCTTGGCGGTGTAGTTCGACTTGGCCGGCCCGACGTTGGTCACCGTCCGGTTCACGGCGAACGCATCAGCTCGCAGCGGCACCAGTATCGCCGGGTAGTTCAGCTGCGCCCCGGTGATAGGCTCGACCTCAGTGCAAGTCAAGGTGGTGTTTCCGGCTATGGTTTTCAGGGCCGCCTCGCCGAGGAGCCTGCAGATGTAGCCAGCGTAGTCGCGGACGCCAAGGTTGTACACCAGGCCGGGGTCTACGGCCTTCGCCGGGACAACGTGGCCGGCGCCGACGGAGTAGAAGCTCGCCTTCCGGTGCTCCTCGTCCATGATCTGGTTGCCGTCGTTGTCGATGGCGCTGGACGTGGTCATGATGGCGGACTTGATCGCGGCGGGCGACCAGTCCGGGTGCGCCTTCTTGACAAGCGCCACGATGCCGGTGATGTGCGGCGTCGCCATGGACGTGCCGGAGACGACGTCGAAGCTGTTCGACTCGGGCCCCCCGACGGGCACCTCCGACGGCCACGCGGCGAGGATATTGAGCCCCGGCGCCATGACGTCGGGCTTCAGCACGCCGGGGCTGGCAACGCTGGGGCCGCGCGACGAGAAGGCCTCCACGATCGGCGCCGGCTTCACGCCAACGACAGTGCTGTTGAACACGATCGTTGCCGTATGGTTGGTCGTGGACGCACCCTTCATGGCGTAGCCCATTATCTTGGTGCCGTCGACCACGGTCACCTGCGACATGGGGAGGTTGTAGTATTTCTCCAGGACGATGGTGTATCCGAAGTCCGGTTCGTTGATGAACACGACGCCGGCGCCGCCAGCCTCACGGACCGCCTCGATGGAGCTCATCGGTGGCACCGGTGTCTCGGTGTCGCACACGACCACCATGCCGGTGATGTTGACGTTGAAGTAGTCGCAGAAGTTCATGCCGTTTGAGTAGTACAGCGGATACACCTTGGAGCTGAAGTGCTTGTCCTGAGTCAGTGACTCACCTCCGAACATCTCGCCGTCGCCGAGCCGCACGCTGGCACGGAAGCTCCGGTCCACAGACCCGGCCGCCACCGTCAATATCCACGGCGCTTCGTTGGACAGCGTGGAGGGCAAAGGGCCACTGTTGCCGCCGGCGCACACTACGAGGACGCCCTTGGACACCGCTGCGAACGCGCCGATGGCGATGGGGTCCTTGTCCAACGGCGTGGAGACGCCGCCGAGGGACACCGAGAGGACGTCGACGCGTCCTTCACGGCGGCGTCCATCCCGGCCAGCAAGTCGGACTCGAAGCACCCTTGGGCGTCGCAGACCTTGTACACGGCCATGTGCGCGCCGGGTGCCATCCCGGCAGCCGTGCCGCCGCCGCCAAGGCCGAAGGCCGAGACTCCTTCCACGAACCGGCCGGCCGCCGTGCCGGTGGTGTGCGTGCCGTGCCCGACGTCGTCGGTGATGGTGTTGTCCACGACGAACGACGCCGCGCCGATGAGCTTGTTGTTGCACCGAACAGGAGGCTGGCAGGCGCCCTTCCACCTGGGGGGCGGCGGCGGCATGCCGTCGTCGCGGAACGAAGGGTGCTTCTCGTCGATCCCGGTGTCCAGAAACCCAATGATCGTGCCCTCGCCGTAGCCGGTCGCGTTCCAGACGCCGCCGTCGGGAGTCAGCCCGAGCAACCCCGGTGTGCGCGTCGTCATGAGCGGCATCCTGCGTTCCGGGAACGCCCGCACGAACCCTGGCTTCCTGGACACGGCCGCGAGCTCGGCGTCGGTCAGCCTAGCGGCGAAGCCGGAGAGCACGCTCGTGTACGAGTGGCGAATGCGGCGCGGGCGGACACCACCACCGGAGCTCTGGAGGAACGACTCGTGCCACCGGCGGTGCGCGGCCTCGTCGTCTTCATCGGTTTGCGCAGGCGGAGGCTCGACCAGGACGATGTAAGTTCGGGTGTTGGCGTGATGCCCGGCGGCGCCGGTGCTCCGCGGCGCCGCGCCGTGAGGGACATAGCCCAGCACGGGGCACGCCGCGGCGACCAAGACAAGGGCGTATGCAAGGGGCAAAATCGTGAAGCGACCCATGGTTTGCAAGCACGAATTTGACATAGATAGCGTTCGGCGTCGCTGAAGCTTATATACTCCGTGGACTGGACCGAATGGTTCTCTGCTTGTTCATCTTGTCTTTGCCGCATGACTGCCATGCACGCATGCGTGATCCCAAGATACAGGGCAGCCCACCCGAGAAAGCATGAACATGTCAAATGCATGGTGAGTGCAATGCTTTCTGGACTCCTAATGCAACAGCATCCGTTCCGCTGCCATTGGATTGGGGTGTTTTACTAATTGTGAGTCACTATCACATTAGATGTTTAACACTAATTTAAAGTATTAAATATAAACTAATTACGAAACTAAATGTATAGATTGAGACTAATTTGCGAGACGAATCTATTAAGCCTAATTAGTCTATGATTTGACAATATGGTGCTACAGTAAATATGTGCTTATGACGGATTAATTAGGCTTAATAAATTCGTCTCGTGGATTACTGACGACTTCTCTAATTTGTTTTATTATTACTATCCGAACACCCGATGTGACACCCATGTGACACATCTTAAACTTTAGTCCCCGGATCCAAATACCTGAGATGCACCACGGCCAAACCTTGGGTTTGTGTGTGTGTGTGTTTTTGAAACATTTGGGTTTATGGTTCTCAGAACCATTAGTAATGGGACTTAATTCTCACGGCAAGCGCGGCTACGAAGAGTGAGAACATCTTAGGTCGTCGCCCACCAATTGCACATGAATTATCTATGATCATTAGGCTATCAAACTCATAAGGCCAGCCTCAGTAGGACTTTCATATGAGTTTCATCTGCACTTAGTAGGTTGCTACATAAGCATTTTCCGATGATATGCTAATGTTTTTATAAAGAGAGAAGAATTGAGTTTCATGTAGATAAAACTCTCTTGTCTCAGTTTCCAACTCGATCTATATGGGCCATGTAATTAAAATGTCTATGAAACATAGAATGAAATCATATAGAACTCTCTTTCAAATTATTATTCAATCTTTTCTAGTTTTCAACAATCAACTAGTGTTTGTTAAATTCTTTACGAAATATCCTTATTGTATTTATTGTACTTGTTGGGCGTACCCAATGCAGAGAGCACCCGCTCTGTGCAGGGTCATGGGAAGGATGTCAGTGGCAAGCCTTACCCTCAACTGTGCAATGCGAGGAGACCGCGACTCGAACCCAAGACCTTCCGGTCACAGGCGGTAAGACTCTACCACTTGCACCAGACCCGCCCTTCTTTATTGTACTTGTTGACGGCAATATACTTATCTAAATCTTTTTAGAATTAATGGGGAAAATTCAGTCTAGCGTTGAGGCTGCCAGGCTGTTAAATGCTTAATGGTCCATTTTGGAAACTTAATAAAGGACATTAATTAAGTACAAATAATACTAGCAAGGCAAGTCTTAATCAAAGTAATTCTACCCCACATAGGATAAAAGTTTGCCTCACCACCCAACAATTCTCTTGATGATTTTATCTATTATAGAGACTGGATGTCCTCTCTCCTAAGTTTATCAAAGTGAAGAGATTATTAAGAGAACACCTAGGTATTTAATTTGGAGTGAAATGTATCGTACATTTCTAAACTTTCTAAGTGGTTCATTCGAAGTATAAATTTGGATCCATGATTAGACTTAGAGTGAACTTAAAATGAAACACATGAAAATTTGAAAGACCCAAATAATCACTTTTGGGAGTTCATGAACCCAGAAGATAATGAAAAGGAAGTTTAAGGAGCCACGATATATTTCCTTCTTTAATTGGAAAGGATCCAATAGAGCAGTCAAACAATGTTCATATTTGGTCAATGTTATAGAAGTTTCGATTTAGGACAAAGCTAAAGTAACCTATAAAATTCAGAACTGAGGTGACAACAAATAACCAATAAGAACATCGATTGATGGAAGTACGAAATCGAGATCAGAAGTCTAGCACAATATCTAAAACAGATTAGTACACAACAATATAGTGCATGCTGGCTGCAGATAAACAGTCCAAACTTAAAGCAGCAACCACATAAGTTCAAAACAATATCAGCCCAACAAAGCTATATAGCATGACAGAAGTCCATAAGAGTTCAAATGCACTAGTAATACAACTTGGGCATATCTAGTATCGCTTATACAGAACAGAGAGCATTGGGTCCACATTGTAATCATGCCCTTTCTTGTCGGAGCAGCACTCAGGGCATTCAGAACCATATCTGCAAAATTCAAGCAAACAAGAATTGGGTTAAAACAATGGAGAAATGGGTTTCAAAATGTTAACAAGCTGCTCCACAATTGTGACTGGGTTCTTCTTCTGCTAGATGGATTGGAAGAACAGAGACCTTTATCAAGCCTGGAATCATGCTTCAGAAAGCTGATCAAAGGACACATTGCCAAGCTGCTGGAATCTAAAAGATCCTATTGGAAACAAAGAAACACAGTTAGATGGATTAAACTTGGAGATGAAAACACCAGTTTCTTCCAAGCAATGGCATAAATTTCTCATAGAAGGAATTCTAGTGCTAGCCTTTCTCTACCTAATGATGTCATAGTCACCAATCATGATCAGAAAGCAGGTATTCTATGGGAGGCCTTTAAAAATAGATTGAGTGACATATGATTTGCATTCCCTTCTCCAAAGACATGACTTAAACTTCTTGGCTGATGATTTCATTGAGGACTATAACAAGGTGATCTCTAAGATCCCCAGCAATCATGCTCCTGGCCCAGATGGTCGCAATGGCAAATTTATTAAAAAATGTTAGTCTATCATAAAGCCAGATTTTCTGAGATTGTTCTCTGACTTCTTCAGAGATTTCATGGACCTCACCAGCATCAACTCCTCCTATATCACCTTGATTCATAAAAAGAGCAATCCAGAAACAGTTAATGATTTTAGGCCCATCTCCCTCTTGAACTACTCCATGAAGTGCATCACCAAACTGCTCTCTTCCAGGCTACAACAGGTCATTCTTCAACTAGTACATGTCAATCAATATGGATTCATCAAGGGCAGGACCATCCAAGACTGCTTGGCTTGGGCTTTCCAGTTCCTACATATTTGTCACCATTCTAAAAAGGAAATAGTCATCTTGAAACTAGACTTCGAAAAGTCTTTTGATAAGCTAGAACATCAAATTATCTTAGATGTCATGAAATTTAAAGGCTTCCCTAAAAAATGGGTTAGATGGGTGGAGATCATACTCAAATCAGGAACTTCTTCTGTCCTCCTGAATGGCATGCCTGGCAAACCTTTTGCCTGCAAGAGAGGAGTTAGACAAGGTGATCCACTCTCTCCCCTTTTATTTGTTTTGGCAGCTGATCTTCTTTAGACAATTGTCAATAAAGCCTGGCAAGCTGGTGTTCTGTACCACCCACTAGCAGATGATTTTGAGGAATTCTTTCCCATAGTCCAGTATGCAGATGACACTCTACTGATTATGCTAGCTGATGCTAGGCAACTATTCACTCTGAAATGCTTGCTCACGACCTTCTCTAACTCCACTGGGCTACATGTGAACTTCCAAAAAAGCTTTCTGGTTCTCATTAATGTTTCTGCAGGAAAATCATCCCTCCTGGCACAAACCTTCGGATGTGAGGTTGGGTCCATGCCCTTCACCTACTTGGGCCTACCCCTTGGCACAACAAGACCCACTATGCAAGAATTTAGTCCCCTCTTAACCAAAATGGAAAGGAAACTCTCAGAGGTGAGTAAATTTCTCTCTTATCAAGGAAGACTCATAATGGTGAACTCCGTTTTCTCTGCCTTGCCCACGTACTATATGTGCAGGATTGTAATTCCCCCTACAGTGATCCAACAGATAGATAGATTCAAAAAACATTGTTTATGGAGCAAAGGGGATATTAGTAAAAGAGGTACATGTCTTTCTGCTTGGGAACCATCATGCAGGCCCAAAGATGAAGGGGGCCTTGGGATTATTGATATGAAAAATCAGAACACTACTTATGAAAAATTTTGACAAATTTTATAATCATGCTGACATTCCTTGGGTCAAGCTAACCTGGTCCAAACTTTATCAGAATACCAACATTCCTCATGAAAGAAGCCCCACTGGATCCTTCTGGTGGAGAGACATAATCAAGCTATTTGAAAAGTTCAAGTCTTTTGCTATCTGCCACCTAAATCCTAGAAATTCAGTTGCTTTCTGGAAGAACAATTGGTCTGGTCAGATCCTGGAAAATAAATATTCTCATCTCTTTTCTTATGCCCTGAAAGCAAACTGCTTGCTTCGGTTTTACTGCAAGAATCAGACCAACCGATGCTTCTTCGTACCCCTGTCAATACAAGCTTCACAGCAATACAGTGAGGTTCAGCAACTCATCATAGGCAGAATTTGGGATCAAAATTCTCAAGATGTTTGGGCTTACACCTGGGGATCCTCATTCTCCTCAAAAAAGGCATACTCTCAACTCCAGGGATCCTATGAAGCATCTTCATTGTTCAATTGGTTTTGGAAATCAGGTAACATTGGCAAACATAAATTTTTTGCCTGGCTCCTGATCAGGGATAGACTCAGCACTAGGAATCTCCTAAGAAGAAAAAACATGTATCTGGAAGACTACAACTATGTTCTATGCCACAATGGTCCTGAAGAAACTTGTTTCCATCTCTTTTTTGAATGCCCTTTTAGCTCTGTTTGCTTGAACTCTATTAATATTCACTAAAATTTTAACCTTCAGCCACTGGACATGATCATTCAAGCAAGAATAGACTTCAACAGTCACATCTTTAGAGAAATTTTTATAACTGCGTGTTGGGTCTTTTGGAAAGCGAGAAATGGAACTATCTTTGATAATCAAACTGCAACTCTGCTGGAATGGAGGGCATCTCTCAAGGAGGAACTTGGTCAAATTTGTATCAAGGACAAGAAGAGTATTTCTGATCCCCTGTTTGTATGGAAGGAGAACCACTTGTAATTTACTTTCTTTTTTGTTTTGAGCTTTGACAACCTTGTAACTTTGCCCTGTACAGTTTTTCTTTCATTTAATGAA